TTTTGTTTTCCCTCCACACAATCTGCAGAGGTTCTTTGGGGGCTTTTGAGATCAGCCCCATTCCCGGCAGGAGGACTTCCCATTGCATGAGACCTTTGGAATTACAGGGTAAAGCTCTGCCGATTCTTCCTCTGGTTTGTCAGCATGCTTGGAAATTCCGGTTTCAACAGCTTTTCCCCACTAGTTCACTTGGCGCAGATAGAATCATAGAATCATAGAGTTGGAAGAGACCACAAGGGCCATCGAGTCCAACCCCCTGCCAAGCAGGAAACACCATCAGAGCACTCCTGGCATATGGTTGTCAAGCCTCTGCTTAAAGACCTCCAAAGAAGGAGACTCCACCACACTCCTTGGCAGCAAATTCCACTGTCGAACAGCTCTTACTGTCAGGAAGTTCTTCCTAATGTTGAGGTGGAATCTTCTTTCTTGTAGTTTGGATCCATTGCTCCGTGTCCACTTCCCTGGAGCAGCAGAAAACAACCTTTCTCCCTCCTCTATGTGACATCCTTTTATATATTTGAACATGGCTAGCATATCACCCCTTAACCTCCTCTTCTCCAGGCTAAACATGCCCAGCTCCCTTAGCCGTTCCTCATAAGGCATCGTTTCCAGGCCTTTGACCATTTTGGTTGCCCTCCTGGACACGTTCCAGTTTGTCAGTGTCCTTCTTGAACTGTGGTGCCCAGAACTGGACACAGTACTCCAGGTGAGGTCTGACCAGAGCAGAATACAGTGGCACTATTACTTCCCTTGATCTAGATGCTATACTCCTATTGATGCAGCCCAGAATTGCATTGGCTTTTTTAGCTGCCGCGACACACTGTTGGCTCATGTCAAGTTTGTGGTCAACCAAGACTCCTAGATCCTTTTCACATGTACTGCTCTCAAGCCAGATGTTAACCTTCCTCCAGCCATTCAGTACAGATTCCCATTTCATTCATGGATTCTGAATGATTGTATTCCACCATTTTCTAGCATGGTTTACCATTTCTGATTTCCTCATGGAATCATGGAATAGTAGAGTTTGAAAGGATCCCAAGGGTCATCTAGTCCATGGGTAGGCAAACTAAGGCCCAGGAGCTGGATCTGGCCCAATCTCCTTCTAAATCTGGCCCGCGGACTGTCTGGGAATCATCGTGTTTTTACATAAGTAGAATGTGTCCTTTTATTTAAAATGCATCTCTGAGTTATTTGTGGGGCATAGGATTTTGTTATTTTTTTTTCCAAAATACAGTGGCACCTTGGGTTACAGATGCTTCAGGTTACAGACTCTGCTCACCCAGAAATAGTACCTCGGGTTAAGAACTTTGCTTCAGGATGAGAACAGAAATCGTGCTCTGGCAGCGCAGCAACAGCAGGAGGCCCCATGAGCTAAAGTGGTGTTTCAGGTTAAGAACGGACCTCCAGAACAAATTAAGTACTTAACCCGAGGTACCACTATATAGTCCTGCCCCCCACAAGGTCTGAGGGACAGTGGACCGGCCCCCTGCTGGAAAAGTTTGCTGACCCCTGGTCTAGCCCAACCCCCTGCAATGCAGGGATCACAGCTAAACACGTTAGTTGTTTTAATTCCTTAGGCCTTTAGTTGTTATCTTTCCAATTATTTGCTCTATGATGTCATCTTTTGCTTAAAATAAGGAAAGAACAGGTGCTTTACAATATATATATATATTCTTTTGAGCTATTGCAATGTAGCCTCTTAACCCTCTTTTTGCTTCCTCATATGTCCAGTCTTTCAGAAATCTCCGCAGAGGTAAAATTCACATGGAGACCCCAGTTCACAGGAGGGTGGGGACTAGTGTTTCATGGGGGGTGAAGAGTCTCTTCTGTACAGCTAGACTCTAGCCCTGCTGCTCTTTGTGCCACAAAGGCAGAGAGGGGGGACTTGAAGGGGGGAGAGAAACTTCCCAGAAGGATCAGGCGGAGGAGGAGGGAAGAGTTTTACTCCTGGCTAGAGAGAGTTGGATCGCTTTTCCATCATCTGACCTTTTTCAGCTTGCCTGGTTGCCATGGGTCCTCTTTTTCCTGTCACATCCTCTATTTTCCGGATTAAAATTTTTGCCCGGGCGGATTTTTTAAAATTTGGCATAATGTCCCAAGTTTTTTGGTTTGGTTTTTTGGTTTACATGAACGCACGGAATTTTTCTAGTGTATTAGACTCAGATCTAAGACACCTTGCTTAGCTAGTCTGCAGCAGAGAATCACAACAGAATGCCGTATTGGCCCGAATATAAGCCGCACCCACAAATAAGCCGCACCTTTAAAATTCAAGGGGGGGGGGAGAAAAAAAGATAATACCCAAATATAAGCCACTGCCTTAAAATTGGGTTACAGGCTGAAAATTGCTGCCACAGGTACAAGTGTAACTCCGAGCCAATTTAAGCCTTTGCTCTTGCAAGCCCACAACAGTTACCGTACAATCGCTAAAATCGCAAATCACTATTCAGCTGCTACAATGCCGCAGGCACTCACACCCGTAAATGGCAAATGAAGTCTCAAGCTCGCAAATCGGCAATAAAAACTTTTTTTTGTTCCCTTTTACCGTATGTCTGTTTCAGCAGCAATATCGTAAAAGGCAGTTTTTGTAAGGTCGCAAATTTAAGCCACACTTTAACTTTCCAAGGTCAGAATTGGGGGGGGGAGTGCAGCTTATATTCGGACCAATATAATAATAATAATAATAATAATAATAATAATAATAATGCACCGTTTCTAATAAGGCTGCACCTAAGATAGCTCAGATGGCAGAGCATGAGACTCTGAATCTCAGGGACGTGGGTTCCAGCCCCATGTCGGGTGAAAAATTCCTGCATTGCAGGGGGTTGGACTAGATGACCCTCGGGTCCCTTCCAATGCTGCGATTCTGCAAGGATTTGTGCAGCTGAAGAGTTAAACCCACAGAGCTGCAATGGCTAGAGTTGCAGGAGGGAGGCAGGCTTGTGAAAGCCAGGAAGGGTTTTTCCTCCCTGGTTAGGGGGTGGGCCTTGGTTTTGAATTTCTTTTGCAGCTGGCATAAAAGGAGGAGGAAAGAAGGAGAGGAGGAGAAGACAGGAGGACAGTGTGCTAGACTGGGGCATGGAGGCGGAGAGGCAGGGAATTGCTGGAGGAGGAAAAAAGACCCTCTTTTGCAATCGCTCTCCCTCCTCTGGGTAGCAGGCAGGGGTCTCTCTGCTGCTGGTTTCCCCCTTCCAGAAGAAGCAAACTCTTTGAGCAAGCTGGGTCAAAGGGTACCTGGACAGCGCTTTTCTATGGGGTACTGGGGAGGGGCGGTAGAACAGGGGGACGGCATGGGGCAGGGAGCCTCCTAAAACGAAGGGGGCCTGCCTGCTTGAGCCTCCTACAATTCCTGGGTGATGGGGGGGGGCTTCTGCAGAGCATCGGAGACCAAAGCGCATAGCAGCGTATCGTTAACCTCTGGAACTCCCCTCCACAGGAGAGAATAATAATAATAATAATAATAATATAATAATAATAATAATAATAAAATTTATTTATACCCCGCCCTCCCCAGCCAAGACCGGTCTCAGGGCAGCTAACACCCAATATAAAAACAAATACAATTTAAAAACAAGGAGTTCCTGAAGACAATGGAGTCTCCTCTGCCCGGATCGGCGAGGCGGCCCCATGGGACGATGCCAAGGGCTTTCTGGCCTCCTTTGAGCGGGTGGCCCAAGGGAGAGTGGGCGGCCAGGCTGCTGCCAGCCCTCCGAGGAGGGGCCGAGTGGGCCTTTGGCAGCCTGGAGGCCAGCGACAGAGAGGATTATGGGGAAGTGAAGGCGGCCATCTTGCGCGGGGACACCACCGCCCAGGAGAAGCAGCGGCAGCAGCACTTCCGCCGCTTCTGCTACCAGGAGGCCGAGGGGCGAGGCCTATGGCCGCCTCCAGGAGCTCTGCCGTGGGTGGTTAAAAGTGGACCGGCACACCAAGGAGCAGGTTCTGGAACTGCTGATCCTGGAGCAGTTCCTGGCTATCCTGCCGCCCGAGGTCCAGGGCTGGGTCAGGGAGGCCGGGCCTGAGAGCTGCTCCCAGGCAGTGGCCCTGGCCGAGGAAGACCTCCAGGCGCAACGGGAAGCTGAGGGGCAGGAGCTCACATGCGCCTTGGGGCTGTGTTGCTGGGGGGCTCCTGGGGGGCTGATCCTGCCACTCCCTGGGTTGTTAACCAAGAGAGCGAAGCCTCTCCGTTTCATGCTGATTAAGGAGGGGAAGTCCAATTCTATGCCCCTAGCTCACTCAGGGAAACACTTAATCTCAGGGTTGCGGGTTCAAGTCCCGTTTGGGGGCAAAAGATTCCTGCGTTGCAAGGGGTTGGACTAGATGACCCTCAGGATCCCTTCCAACTCTATGATTCCTGTGCTCTTCTAGGCATACTCCCCAAGTGTCCCTTGTCTCCAATGACAGTTCTGGAATTATGAAAGCCACCCCAGCTTCTGATTTGATCCTGGACTGTCCCTAATTCCGCTGCCAGTGCCGAGATCGGGGAATAGTATGAGCTGGCCCTTGTCCCAAGCCATGGCGGCTGCGGCGGCGGCTGTGAGAGGGCATCCTGTTGCCTCTCCATGGCCTCTCCACGGCCGCTGCTACCAGCTTCCTCCCTTGGGCAGCTGCTAGTGGCTTGTTCCCCCAACTGCAAAATGTGCTCTCTGTTAGGGAGTGTTGTGTATTGAGTCAAAGGATTTTATATCTGTATTATTAGTGTCTGTATTTGCATTAGGGTAAAGTAACTGCCCTTTGGTTCCAGAGGGTACAGCTACTTTTGGTTCATTTAAGCTGCTGTATTTGGATCCTCTGTCTTATTGGTTTCCTCCAAAAGGCAGGACTGTGATTGCCTGATATTGTTCCCTTTCTAGCTAGTTCCCTGTCCCTATAAATGTAGCTCTCCCCTCCTCAGGTCTTAAGTCTTGTTTGCTTTAATATAGACGCGCCAGCATATACAACAGGGAGAACACACTTTCCAGGAAGGGAAACTCCCAGGAGCTGAAAACTGAAAAAGCGAAACTTAAGGGACTCTTCAGCACGAGGGAGCCGTGGCTGCTGCAGGGGGTCACATCCAGCGTCTCCGTGATGAAGCCACTTGCCCCATCTGCCTGGATTACTTCAAGGATCCAGTGACCATCCCAGAGTGTGGGCACAACTTCTGCCGATCCTGCTTGGCCCAGTGCTGGGGGGAGGCAGAGGCTTCCTGCCCTCAGTGCAGAAAAAGAATCCAGAGAAGGAGCCTCGTCTGCAACTGGCAACTGGCTAATATGGTGGAAATAGCCAAGAATCTCGGCCTTCAAGAGGGAAAGGAGGAAGGCTATTTGCAGATGACACCAAACTGGGAGGGGTGGCTAACACCCCAGAGGACAGGATCACACTGCAAAACGACCTTGACAGATTAGAGAACTGGGCCAAAACAAACAAGATGAATTTTAACAGGGAGAAATGTAAAGTATTGCACTTGGGCAAAAAAAATGAGAGGCACAAATACAAGATGGGTGACACCTGGCTTGAGAGCAGTACATGTGAAAAGGATCTAGGAGTCTTGGTTGACCACAAACTTGACATGAGCCAACAGTGTGACGCGGCAGCTAAAAAAGCCAATGCAATTCTGGGCCTCATCAATAGGAGTATAGCATCTAGATCAATGGAAGTAATAGTGCCACTGTATTCTGCTCTGGTCAGACCTCACCTGGAGTACTGTGTCCAGTTCTGGGCACCACAGTTCAAGAAGGACACTGACAAACTGGAACGTGTCCAGAGGAGGGCAACCAAAATGGTCAAAGGCCTGGAAATGATGCCTTATGAGGAACGGCTAAGGGAGCTGGGCATGTTTAGCCTGGAGAAGAGGAGGTTAAGGGGTGATATGATAGCCATGTTCAAATATATAAAAGGATGTCACATAGAGGAGGGAGAAAGGCTGTTTTCTGCTGCTCCAGAGAAGCGGACACGGAGCAATGGATCCAAACTACAAGAAAGAAGATTCCACCTAAACATTAGGAAGAACTTCCTGACAGTAAGAGCTGTTCGACAGTGGAATTTGCTGCCAAGGAGTGTGGTGGAGTCTCCTTCTTTGGAGGTCTTTAAGCAGAGGCTTGACAACCAGATGTCAGGAGTGCTCTGATGGTGTTTCCTGCTTGGCAGGGGGTTGGACTCGATGGCCCTTGTGGTCTCTTCCAACTCTATGATTCTATGATTCTATGATTCTAGGAGGGAAAGGGAGAATCTGCGAGAAGCACCAGGAGCCCCTGAAGCTCTTCTGCAAAGTCCATGAAGCCCCCATCTGCCTGGTGTGTGACAGATCCAAGGAACATGAAAATCACAAGGTGATTCCTCTGGAGGAGGCTTCCGAGGAATACAAGGTAGGTAGGAGATCCCTGGATCTGGAGGGGGAGAAATAAATAGCTGTGGATTCTTCTTGGGAGGTTTTCTTTTGAATTCTCAGGTCCAAAGTAGCCATGGCATGAATTGGTCATTGTTTATCACCTTGGAAGCAGCCCAGGGGAAGCCTGAGGGCTCCTGGGGTGGCTGGAGGGGGGAGTTGAAGTCTTTCTCTCTGCCAGGGGGACAAGGGGATCTTGAAAGATTTGAACTGGGACCTTGGCAGGGAGAGAAAGGGTTAACCTCGTCCACATCCCCCTGAAAGGTTGCTATGTACGCATTAAGAACAGTACAAATGTAAATGGCACATACACAACTAAGTACATGTCTCCTCAATGCCCTGCAAAACAGAGAGCAGCAAGGGATCAGCTGGGGGCGGGCGGGGACTGTTAGCCAGGAGTTGACCAGATGATGCAGGATCCCACCCCCCAAGTATCTGTTGGAAGCAGATTTGGGAGTGGAAGGAGCTACTGGTGGCTTAATCTGGGGGTGCTGTGGAGCCTGTGCAATGAGGTTTCAGCGGGGGTGGGGGGGCTGAGGATCTCCTCCCACCCCAAATGGCAAAGGACTCCGTGGTTCAGAGTAGCATCTGCAAAGACCAGGGGGAAAGATGACTTTTTCATGGCAACTCGGAATTGGACCTGTGCAATTATATACTATATATAATGCCTTTTAATTCCTTTTTAAAAATCACTTGTTCTACTACAGTGGTGCAAAAATGCTCCTGTGCCATGCAGTGCTACTAATGCCACGAAATAGTAATAATAGTGGGGGGAAGCTGGTCCCTTTGAATTGGCAGGATGACTAGGCAGCAATCTTCTGACTGAAGGAGCTACCTGGCTGGATTCTGGCCGCAGCCAGAACTTCTTTGGCCCAGAAATGGAAGAAGCTGCAGCACTTAAATCTCCCCTGGTTGCCCAAGCACACTTGGGGTCTGGCTACTGCAGAGAAAATAACTGACAAATAGCAGAAAACCTGAATTGCCATCTGACCCGAAAGAGGGGTTTGGAATGGGTGAAGTTTTGAGAAGCGCTGCTCTATCTCTGCATCTCTCGCCTCTTGGGCTGACCTCACTAGTATCTCTTTGACGCTAGACTGATACATCCCAGGTTGGATCCTGCCTTAGCCCTTCTTCCTCCTCCTCCTCCTCCTCTTCCCACTTCTCCCTGAGACCTCAAGGTGAGAAGTCAGGCTGGGACTCCCAAGGAAAGGAGAGGAGGCTGAGAGATCACTCCACAAGGGAGGGTGTTTGAGAAAAGGTGAGGGGCTGCCAGCTCTGCAAGGAAGGGGGGACCTAACTGAGATCCTGAGCCCCACAGGGCTGCCGCAGAAAGAAGGTAGTTGACCCATGGAGCCGTGGACCCCAAAAGGCTGAAAACCTCTGTGCTTTTATTTCCTCCAGGAAACTACTTTGCTATTCTAGCAAGGCCACTGGGCACAAGAAGCCATTGTGATTTCCATCTCTCTGTGTGTCTCAATCAAAGCTGAGTTTTTCCTTTTCTCTTTAGGGAGAGATCTGTCACCGCCTGGAGATTCTGAGGAAAGAGAGAGGAAATTCTGGCCTATCGAGCAGATCTGGACAAGGAAAGCAAAGACCTCCTGGTAAGTGTCTCTATTGTTACTCGACAGGGAACAAGCACTTGAGACCTCCAGGTATAGGGCAGTATATAAATTCAATAGAGAAGAAGAGGAAGAAGAAGAAGAAGAAGAAGAAGAAGAAGAGAGTCAGGACTGAGGAGGGATGGAGAAATCTGCCCGTTTCAGCTTCTCCTCATTTCTCCTTTTTCCACATCAGTCTGTTATGAATCAGATGTTAGGGTAGCTACCTCCTTGTATAAATATTTTGATCTGTACTTTACCCTCATAAATACATTTTTTGTGAATATTACCTGGCTGGGTCCAGCTTGAAAATATCAGAATTTTAAAACTCTGTTTTGGTCTCCGTATTTTTTCAGCAAGAGCAAATTAGGTAATGTTACGGAAAAATCCCGGGTGCGGAGTTGTCCTGTCACCCAGCTCGTCGGACAAAGTCCGCGGGTCCTAGCGGAGAAAATAAGCTCAGCCGGACGCAGGAGCAAGATGCGGAGATCCGAGGTTTATTGCGCAACAGGTTCAAGACGAGATTGAAACCCCGAGAATGGGGCGACATAAACTTTTAAAAGTTCCCTCCGAGTCCCAGAATACAGTGCAAGAAACGTCATGAATACATTATGGGAAGGTTGGGTTTCACGAGTTGCATTATGAATACATTACACACGTCATGAATATATTAAAGAAAGGTGGGGTTCCACTAATTAACATTTTAGATAGGGGGGGGAACATGCAGAGTGAGAGATATGCATAGATAAACATTTCTTGAGTACCGGTGGTGGCAAGACAATAGTCCAGAGATATGCATCGTCTGCCACCTAGTATTGCCCGGAGGAAGGGTTAGGCGGAACGATTTGACAGGATTAGGAAGTTCCTGTGTACGTGACCTGCCGTTTCGGGGATTATGGAAGTAGGGGTAGCATCATGGAGTCCAAAGGGAGCTGAGTTGAACGGCACCAAGAGCGAGGAAATCGGAGTTACGGTTGATTTTATATCAATTTCCAAAGGTTTCCGTATTTTCCAGCCTATTTCGTATTGCTGATCAAAAGCGGAAACAGAATGGATACATTGTAACAGAATGGATACATTGTAGCAAGACTTTGACAGTTTTACGAGGTCCGGGGTTTCGATTCCATTGTTCTCGCAGTGGGGGCCGTCAGCAGCTTGTCAGGAGGTGAAATGAGGCGTGCAGTAGCTCCCTGAGCTAGCTTCTGCAGGGCGAATGCATGGCTGTGATTAGCTAAAACGCGGCCCATTATAGTGAATGGGGATACAATATGATACGGTCTACTCACGTTAGAAATAGGGCGAGAGGAAGGCATAAGAAAGATGGGGCTTATTTTGCCCGTATAAAGATAGGAAAAGAAAGCCTTTTATTCACAAGGCAGGGGTATAGGGGGTATAGTGTAGTGCTTGTGCAACGGTGTGGGGGCTGAGGGTTCTAGGCAGAGCTGGGCACTGTCGAGGTCATCGCCTCGGACCCCTTCAGAAAGTGGTGGGGAGGGGACAGGTACCCCCCCCTTCCTCCTTCCGTATCAGGTAAGTTCACCTTTGAATGCAGCTAAATTGTGTTTATTTCCCCTTGTCCTTTATTATGTGAATAGCAGTCAAGGAGAAGCTTGAGGACTTGTGAGCTGAAAGGGTGGAAGCAATTCAATCCAAATCCTGATTTACTATAAATATTACTAAAGAACTGAATTCTAAATGTGCTCTCTTGTTCATTTTTAGGAAACTCAGGCTTTTTTTAAACCTTTAAAGGAAACAGGGGAGCTCTGGGGATGAACTCTGCACTTTGTCCTCCTCTGTTTCTGTTTCTTCCTACACCTAAATGGCCCCAGTCTAAACTGAGGGGTGTTTTATGTCCCTGATGTTCTCTGAACAACTGTGAACTCTGGTTATGCCATGCCCCAAAACATGCAGGGATAATCCATGGCTAGGAAAAAAGAGCTCCTTCCTTTAGGCTGTATCCGTCTGCAAAATAGAAGTCAACAGAAACAGCAATGGAGAGGGCCTCCCCTCAAAATATAGGTTTACTTCTTTAGCCACTGGAGGTTTCATGTCTATAGAAAAATCAGAAGTGTCCTTCCTCCCTGTGGAATTCTCATAATTTTCTTTCTGCTGTTTCGAGGCTAAGCACACGTTACGGAAATTACGGGGGGGGGCACATCTTTAAAGTTAAATATTACAGATATTATGCCTGAATATATCCTTCCAACTTGACAGCTCAGGAAAGTCACCTAGCTTTAAAAATAATATAAAATCATCTCCTTTCCCAGTTCCCCCCATTCCAAAGCTGTTTTCCCCTTGCAAAAGGACTCCAGGAAGTTCTCAGAGGTGACAATTGCTGGGCTCATTGTTAGCCAAGGGAAGCCAAATCTCATCACCCGACTCCCTCAGGCTCCAGACATGCAAAGGGACTTCTATTGTACTTTTGGGGTACTTAAGTGGGTACTTAAGACATATTTGTCTATGCTAATCTTATACCTGAGTCTTGCCCTGCCATGTCTGCTTATGCTAATCTTGTACCAAGGACTTGTCTGGACATGTTTGCCAAGGTTACCCCCTCCCCTTTGAACTGTATTCTGGGATGTGGTGGGAAAGTTTTAAAAGTCTTTGTCACCCCATCCTCAGGGTTCAAATTTGCTTTTGAACTTATTGCGCAATAAACTTTGGTCTACAGCTATTTGCTCCGCTTGGCTGGACTCCTTCCTTTATTCCGCAGGGACCCGCAGGCTATGCCCGACGAGCTGGGTGACTGAGCAGCCTCACACCTAGATTTTTCCCTAACAGCACCAAACACACTCAGACCTCCTCTTTTCTTGCAGAAATTAACAGAAACAGAGAGGCTGAAGATTGTGGAGAAGTTCAGAGAACTGCGCCAGTTCCTGGAAGAACAAGAAAAAGGTCTGCTGAATCATATGGAAGAGGTGGAGAAGGAGATTGCAGGGAGAAGGGATGAGCAGCTGGCCAGACTCTCCAGGAAACTCTCCTCTCTTGAGAGGATCATCCAGGAGATGGAGGAGAAGCGTCAGCAGCCAGCGAGTGAACTGCTGCAGGTAAGATGGTGGCAGGAACAGCCCAAGGCTCCAGGAAAAGGCTGCCTCCAATCCTTTATGTTTCCACTTTCATGTATGCAAGGAGTGCAGGGGCTCAGATGATGGAGCCTCTAGTCAGGTTTGTCATGGACAGGAAGACCCAAGAGACCTGGGATGCTTAACTCACCTGAATGCAGACTAGAGATTCTTCTGTGTTCTTGATGGAACAGGAGGTGGTTTTCTGCTCTTTGCTGATGATTTGTCTCCAAATGCCGCCTTCTTCTTGGCAATGCTGCCTTCCTGCCCTGGGCTGGGCTGGGCTTCAGCGAGGATGAGTTCAGGCCTCCTTCTGACATGAGCCAGTCTCTTGACCAAGCTTCTCTTCCAGTTCCCTCCACAACTTCTTGGTTGATCCCCTTCACAATGGATACAGAGCGGCCCAAAATGGTGCTCAGTCACAGTGACCAAAGAGCAAGACAGAGGGACTCATCCAGACTGCTGCTTCTCCCACACCTTTCCTCAAGGAAAACCTGCTCTCTACTGCTGAATGAGAGCAAACCTCAGCCAGGTTTTCTCTGGATTGACGTTTGCTTAGATGTTGAACTAAGGAGCAGGTTTTTCCTGAGGGAAAGCGGCAGGGCAAAGGCAAAACTACTTGGACCTGTGTTTTCTGGGCACAGGAAAAGCAGAAGTGTGGATGAGCCCCAAAGAAACACTCAGCTATATAATAATAATAATTGTTGTTGTTTAGTCGTTCAGTCGTGTCCGACTCTTTGTGACCCCATGGACCAGAGCACGCCAGGCCCTCCTTTCTTCCACTGCCTCCCGCAGTTTGGTCAGACTCATGTTTGTAGCTTTGAGAACACCGTCCAACCATCTGGTCCTCTGTCGTCCCCTTCTCCTTGTGCCCTCCATCTTTCCCAACATCAGGGTCTTTTCCAGGGAGTCTTCTCTTCTCATGAGGTGGCCAAAGTATTGGAGCCTCAGCTTCACGATCTGTCCTTCCAGTGAGCACTCAGGGCTGATCTCCTTAAGAATGGATACGTTTGATCTTCTTGCAGTCCAAGGGACTCTCAAGAATCTCCTCCAGCACCATAATTCAAAAGCATCAATTCTTCGGCGATCAGCCTTTTTGATGGTCCAGCTCTCACTTCCATACATCACTACTGGGAAAACCATGGCTTTAACTATACGGACCTTTGTTGGTAAGGTGATGTCTCTGCTTTTTAAGATGCTGTCTAGGTTTTGCCATCGCCTTTCTCCCAAGGAGCAGGCGTCTTTTAAATAATAATAATAATAATAATAATAATAATAATAATAATAATAATAATAATAATATAAATATATTTTTTGTCCCGCCCATCTGCCTGGGTTACCCCAGCCACTCTGAGCGGCTTCCAACCAAATATTAAAAACAATACAGCATCAGACATTAAAAACGTCCCTAAGAAGGGCCGCCTTCAGTTTCCTTCTAAAAGTCAGATAGTTTTTTACTTCCTTGATGGAAAGGCGTTCCACAGGGCTGGTGCCACTACCAAGAGGGCCCTCTGCCTGGTTCCCTGGAACCTCACTTCTTGCAAGGAGGGAACCTCAGTGTCCAGGCAGAACGATGGGGGTGGAGACGCTCCTTCAGGTACACTGGGCTGAGGCCATTTAGGGTTTGAAAGGTCAGCACCAACACTTTGAATTGTGCTCGGAAACGTACTGGGAGGTGCTTTATTACCCCTTTGGAGGCATTTTATGCTGCAGGTGCTTTTCTTATTTCCAGTTGGAAAGTAGAATTTGAAATTTGGGGACTTCTATGGAAGACAATTTGGGACAGTTCTCTGGTAGGATTATCCTGTAGGCTTACTTACGTCTGAATTGCACAATGCAAACTGGATTAAAGTTAATAAATTATAATCTAAGACAAGAGATGGGATGGAATCTTCTCCTGAACCCACAAATATTAAATTTCCCAAAAATGCTGGTGGATTTTCATAAGGATTCTTAAAAAATAATTGTAAACAGATGTGGAAATGTGGAGAACTTGATACTGGAAAAATTAATAATTTCAGACTGGAGAAATAAAAGCTGTGAGAAACCAAAACTGGCTGATTCAGCCATTCCTACCCAAAACCTTGGCATGTGCCAGGCAGACTGACATCCGAGGGCCAGGGTCTGAGGGGGTCTTCCTAGTGTGGCCTGTGGTGTGCAGTGAATTCCCTTCTCTTTCCCCCTCTAGGATGTGAGAAGCAACCTTGCAGAGGTAAGTGGATCTGGCTCATTTCCATTAGCTTCACTCTTTGAAGCTGAGATGCAGGAACCTCAGACATGGCCCTCCAGGGGCTGCAGGGGGGAGACTGGAGGACTCACTCCCTGAGGCATCTCACAGGTAAAAGCAGGGGCCCCTCTTTGGAACTTGACAATGGGTAGATCACAGTTGGTCTTTTTATACTGTGAGTAGATCACAGTCTCTTGGGAGTTGGACGTGCCTGCCTTAGCTGTTTCCTTCTAGACTGACCAGTTCAGTCACTCTGCCGGCCACCCCACCCTGTCCCAAGCAAACTCCTGCCCCATAGAGCCCCTTGGGAGGGGGCGATTTCTCACCAAGGAGCAGGAATTGGCTATTTCTTGACCATATTCCGGCTGCAGTATTTATATTGAAGGAATCACTCAGGTGCAGAGTAGAGGTTTGAAGGAACATTTTCTTGTTTCCCAACAAAAGTGCATCTCTTTTTCTTCCTCTCCCCTTCTCTGGGGACATCTAGAGAAAGGACATGTGTGCTGTGCTCTCACCACCCTCAGACAATTCCTGCCCCTTTGATACCATAGGATTCTGGCTGCTGCTTTGAATAGACATCAGTGGGGAGACTCAGAGGCCTGGGGTTGCTGTTTTGGCCCTTGGGGGTCTGGCTGAGGAGTCCGTAGTGAGGAAGAAACTCCCCACTCAGCGCATGCCTGTCCCTCTAGGCCTCCTCCCAATTCCTTTCTTTTCCTTTAACAGAAATTGCAGATTTGAATGGGGCTGACATTGTTCTTCTTTTCACCAGGTATGATGAGAAAAGAGAGAGTCCAGAGAAGCCACTGCCTTTCCCTCCAGAGCTGAGGAACAGGGTCTTGGGATCCTGTGATCTAAATCACCTGTGGAGGATGCCAATGAAACAATGGGAAGGTAATGGAAAATTGGCTGCCAGGATTTCACACTGGGATTTCTATTATTTCTTCAAACTGAACATGCCAGGCTCTTACTGCATGGAATTGCGTAACCCCAGGATACCTTCCTTCTTGGGGCTCCAGCCTTCATTTCCTGTCCCCCCAGAATGGCGCTGGAACCTGTTAAAGGAAGCCTGAACCAGAGGGTATCTCTTTTCAATTCTACGGAACCTCCTTTTCCTTTTGGTTACCAGTCTACATAAATCTGGGGTTGTCCTTTGGGAGGTTCTCCTGCTCTGAATGGAGTCAATTCAAGGATGCTACATTATGAAGTGTTACTTTTGTATGGAGATTTATCTCAGGTGGAAGAGTGTTGCCCTTACACGTTATATCTTTTTGCTTCCTCAGATGCTGTGTTATACAGAAAACAGACTCAGAAA